GTAGAACATCAAATTTGTTCATGTATGCTGTACAGGTGTTTCTAGAAGGCATCCTCGGTTTAGATAAGATTATGAATTTGGATTGGGTAAGGGTAAGTGCAAAAAGAGAAAAGGCAGCCTAGGGAGGAAAAGCGCTAGCAGTAGAGGCTTGCAACCCCATAGCTTGCCCTGCTTGTTTTGCTCCTGAAATGTTAGAAAAAGGTTGTGACTGGGGCCCGGGACTTCACGGCCTTAGATCGCAGGCCACTTTGGTGAGGCCGCCGGTGAATCACGAGCAGGGACTAGAGACCATCCTGACTAACCGGGAAAACCGCCATCTCACTAAAAATAAAAAAATTAGGCACGGCAGTGCAGGCCCCTATAGTCCCAGCTGCTTCGGAGGCTGCGAGGCAGGAGGGGAGGCAGAGGTTGTAGTGAGCTGAGATCACGCCACTGCACTCCAGCCTGGGTGACAGAGGGAGACTCCAAAAAAAAAAAATTACGTTCAAGGGTACATGTGAAAGTTTGTTATATAGGTAAACTCATGTGACAGGGGTTTGTTGTACAGATTATTTGATCACCCAGGTGCTAAGCCTAGTATCCAGTAGTTATTTTTTCTGATCCTCTCCCTCCTCCCACCCTTCATCCTCAAGTAGACCCCAGAGTCTGTTGTTCCCTTCTTTGTGTTCATAAATTCTCTTCATTTAGTTCCCACTTACAAGTAAGAATATGCGGTATTTGGTTGTCTGTTCCTGGGTTAGTTTGCTAAAGATAATAGCCTTGAGCTCCATCCATGTTCTCACAAAAGACACAATCTTGTCCATTTTTGTGGCTACATAGTATTCTGTTGCATCCCCTATCTTAAAGTGAGGGTCTGGACCAGGTGAGTTCCTCATTCAGCAGATAATGACTAAGGGTCTGCTGTGGGCCAGGTACTGTTTGAGGCATCAAGAATACAAACGTGAATAGGACAAACAGAGCTGCCTTCATGGAGTTTACATTCTAGGGGGATTGGAGGGGGGACACACAAGCAAGTAACTACATGACGTAGTTTCAGGAACAGATAAGCACTGTAAGAAAAAGCAGAGTCAAAGCTACCCAAGGTCAACTGTAGTCCAAAAGATTCAGATATCTACTGGGCACAGTGGCTCATGCCTGGAATCTCAGCACTTTGGGAGGCTGAGCAGGTGGGTCACCTGAGGTCAGGAGTTTGAGACCAGCCTGGCCAGCGTGGTGAAAGCCTATCTCTAGTAAAAATACAAAAATTAGCCAGGTGTGGTAGTACATGCCTGTAATCCCAGCTACTTGGGAGGCTGAGGCACAAGAATCTCTTGAACTTGGGAGGCAGAGGTTGCAGTGAGCCGAGATCACACCACTGCACTCCAGCCTGCACAACAGAGTAAGACTCTCTTAAAAAATAAAAATTAAAATTAAGATATTTTGAGAGATCAGATTCCCATAACTTTCATTACAGTATATTGTTATAATTGTTGTATTTTATTAATGTTCTTAATCTCATACTGTGGCCCTTTTGCCTGTAACTTTATTTTAATGATCAAGTTATACTTTGGATGATGCATAGAGAAAACTTCCTCAAAGATATTCTGCCTTATAAGGATGGTTGGACAGATGAATAGATGGATGGACAGATAGATAGAATTTTGAAAATAAAAAAGATAAACTGCTCAGTTTACAACTCCCCTGGAGGCCTTTGCTTCCACTGGGATATATCATCTGTTTCTAGTTCCTTGTACAATCAATGTGGGACCAGGTCTCTGACTCACACAGAGTCAGACTGGGCCAGCATCAGTGTTAAAAAGTGTCTTCACATTTCGCTGTGTAAGGAAAGGTTCTCGAGCAGTGCTAGCCTGGGATATGAAGAGCGGCTTCCTAAACTCTGCCTCTTCTTCAGGCATGGCTGCACAGTTCCTGCTGCTTTTTAACAATATTATTTTAATTTTGGAGGTCAGTGACCTAATCACATGAAGCCTAGAACTGCCAACATAGGCTAAACTCTTAACAATTGTTTTTCCTTAGAGAGGTAGTGACTCGTAATATAAGACCATTATGAAATTCACATCTTATCAGGGAAACTTTTCCCTTGAATAAATCTTGTCTATCAAATTTCATTCCAGGAGCAGTATTTGGGAGAGGTGATACGGGTCTCAAATCAAGTGCAGCTGCCAAGCTGGTTGACCTTGATCGCCTACTGGGGGAGCCAGGACAGGAGCCAAGAGGGAACCTTTCCTTACACTCCCCACTGAGCAGCTCCCCTGGCTGCCGGCTCCTAGGGCCAGCCAGGCACCTTGCCTTGGTGTTTTCTTCTCTTGTCTTATTTAATCTTCACACTCCTGTGAGGTCTGTAGTAGTAGCTTCCTTTTGTAGCAGAGGGGTTTGAGGTTTAGAAGGGTTAGGTAAGTTGCCAGAGTACTTAACAGCTCGTTAAGTACACAGGTTAGGGCTCTGTGGGTTTGTCCTCCTACCATGCCTAAGTCATGTTGCCTGCTAAGAAGCCAAAAACTAATGCAGGATTTATATTGTCTTATGTAGACAGTTATGGTTTGATTTGATTTGGTGTGACCCAAAGGTCTGGTTACTCCTAAGCCTCCTTCCCAGCCAACCCTAGTTGGGGATTTGCATTGACTGATAAGTATGATTTCTGAGCTTTCTGCAAATTAGAAGTCCCAGCACAGAAATGGAATGGTGGGAGTCATTGAAAGCTAGCAGTTATAGAATTACCAGACCCAGAAGGAACCATGACCTGTCGTGACATCCAGCCCAGAGACTGACAGTTCTGTCCGAGAATGGAGGTCAACAGAATAGCTTTCTATTTGTCGCAGAACAAGGAGATGTGTCTTCCCGTCTTCCTCTTTATTCTTTTTTTTTTTTTTTTTTTTTTGAGACAAAGTCTCACTTTGTTGCCCAGGCTGGAGTGCAGTGGCACGATCTCGATCTCTTGTCACCACAACCTCTGCCTCCCAGGTTCAAACCATTCTCCTGCCTCAGCCTCCCAAGTAGCTGGGATTACAGGTGCACACTACCACACCCAGCTAATTTCTGTATTTTTAGTAGAGAGAGGGTTTCGGTATGTTGACCAGGCTTGTTTTGAACTCCTGACCTCAAGTGATCCGCCTGCCTTGGCCTCCCAAAGTGCTGGAATTACAGGCATGAGCCACAGCACCAGGACCTTTGATTCTTTTCTAAGCCACTTCCTGGCTTGTTTTTCTTTTTTTTTTTTTTTTTTGAGATGGAGTCTTGCTCTGTCGCCCAGGCTGGAGTGCAGTGGCCGGATCTCAGCTCACTGCAAGCTCCGCCTCCCGGGTTTACGCCATTCTCCTGCCTCAGCCTCCCAAGTAGCTGGGACTACAGGCGCCCGCCACCTCGTCCGGCTAGGTTTTTTTTTGTATTTTTTAGTAGAGACGGGGTTTCACCGTGTTAGCCAGGATGGTCTCGATCTCCTGACCTCGTGATCCGCCCGTCTTGGCCTCCCAAAGTGCTGGGATTACAGGCTTGAGCCACCGCGCCCGACCCCTGGCTTGTTTTTCTAGTGAAATTTTGATATATTTTTGTTAATATCCTTTATGTTTACGTGATTAATCCATATTAATCCATAAGTATTTTTCATGTGTACCTCCAAAGAATACAGACATTCTCCTACATACCATATAATGCCTGAGAAAAATTAGAATTACTTAATATCATCTAAGTGTCCAGTCTATACTTAAATTTTTCCTGTTGTCCTTATAATGTCTTTTGTGGCTATTTTGGTTGTAATTTTTATAGAGATGGGGTCTCTGTATGTTGCCCAAGCTGGTCTCGAACTCCTGGGCTCAAGCCATCCTCCTGCCTGGCTTCCTAAAGTGTAGAATTACAGGCATGAGCCACCATGCAGGCCCCTGGCTTAGATTTTCTCGATACAGTCGCATTTGATTATTATATCTTCCTTTTAGTTTCCTAGGGCTCATAAGGCATTACCACAAACTGGGTGACTTAAAAGCAACAGAGATTCATTCTCTCACAGTTCTAGAGGCCAGAAGTCTAAAATCAAGGTGTCAGCAGGGTCAGGCTCCCTCCAAAGGCTCTAGGAGAATCCATTCCTTGTCTCTTCTAGATTCTAGTGGCCCCAGGCATTTTGTGGCTGGTGACTGCATTCCTCCAGTCTCTACCATGTCTGTCTGTCAAATCCCCTTTCTCTTATAAGGACACTTGCCATTGGATTTAGGGGCCATCCAGCTAATTCAGGATGATCTCATCTCAAAATTCTAAGCTTAGTTACATCTGCAAAGACTCTTCTTCCAAGTCACATTCCACGTTCCAGGTCACATTCACAAGTCAGGGATTAGGACATGAACATATCTTTCTGGAAGCTGCCGTTAAACCCACTGCAATCTCTGTTCTTTCTTTTTTTTCTTTTCTTGAGACAGAGTGTTGCTCTGTCGCTCAGGCTGGAGTGCAGCGGCACGATCTCCGCTCACTGCAACCTCTGCCTCCCGGGTTCAGGCGAATCCTGGCCTCCTAAGTAGCTAGGATTACAGGTGCTTGCCACCGTGCTTGGGCTAACGTTTGTATTTTTAGTAGAGACGGGGTTTCACCATGTTTGTCAGGCTGGTCTCGAACTCCTGGTCTCAGGTTATCCACCCGTCTCAGCCTCCTGAAGTGCTGTGATTACAGGCATGAGCCACTGTGCCCAGCTTCTTTCAATCTGACACAGTCACTCTAACTTCTTGTTTTGTTTGTCATGACGTTACTTTTTTCGATGTCTTTTAGGATGTTCCCCATTCTCTGTATGTCTGATTGTTCCTGATGATCAGACTCAAGCTCAGGTTCTCTTGGCACACATAGGTGATGTGTGTGCTTATTGGAGTGTGTCAGGAAGTGCTTGAAGTCAGATTTTCCTGCTGTGGTGATGCTAAGTTTGATGGTGGCCGTTGTCAATGTCTGTCATATAATTACAGTTTTCCTTTTGTAAAAAACAAGTCATTTGTGGAGTGATACCGTAAGTAGCTGTTTTTCATTCCACACCTCCATCTGGCATTCTTCTGTAAGAAAGAGCTTTCCTTTTATATTCCCTGTTCTTTCAGACCTTATATTTACTTTTATTTATTTATGTAGTTTTTGAAACAAGGTCTCACTCTGTCCGCCAGGCTGGAGTGCAGTGGCACAATCTCAGCTCACCGCAGCCTCAACCTCCCAGGTTTAAAATGATCCTCCCACTTCAGCCTCCTAAGTAGCTGGGACTACAGGAGTGCACTACCATGCCCAGCTAATTTTTTTTTCTTTTGTATTTTTAGTAGAAATGGGGTTTCACCATGTTGGCAGGCTGGTCTGGAACTCCTGGCCTCAAGTGATCCGCCCACCTCAGCCTCCCAAAATGCAGGAATTACAGGTGTGAGCCACTGTGCCCAGCCCTCAGATCTTTTTTTAAATGCCTACTATTTCTCAGACTACTTATGCTTTCATCTTTCAGGTATTTTTGTAGAACAATTTCGTTTTTCCCCCTGAGTACACTACCACCATCATCCAGTCATGTGCTGCCTAACATTTTGGTCAGATAACCTTTTTTTTGTTGTTGTTGTTGGTAGACAGAATCTCGCTCTGTCGTCCGGGCTGGAGTGCAGTGGCACAATCTGCTCACTGCAAGCTCCACCTCCTGGGTTCACACCATTCTCCTGCCTCAGCCTCCGGAGTAGCTGGGACTACAGGCGCCCGCCACTACGCCTGGCTAATTTTTTAATATTTTTTAGTAGAGACGGGGTTTCACCACGTTAGCCAGGATGGTCTCAATCTGCTGACCTTGTGATCCACCTGCCTTGGCCTCCCAAAGTGCTGGGATTACAGGCATGAGCCACCACACCTGGCCAGTCAAATAACTTTTATACAAATGGCAGTGCAGTAGGTTTGTTCACACCAGCATCACCACAAACATGCAAATAATGTGTTGCACTACGACAGCACGATGGCTACGATGTCATTAGGTGATAGGGATTTTTCAGCTCTGTTATAATCTAATGGGACCATGGTCATATCCATCATGGTTCATTGTTTGTTGACCTGCACCCAGCCAGGTTAATTTATTATTGAAAAAAGAAACCAGGCGCGGCGGCTCACCCCTGTAATCCCAGCACTTTGGGAGGACAAGGCAAGAGGATCCTTTGAGCCCAGGAGTTCAAGACCAGCCTGGGCAACATAGGTAGACCATGTCTCTATATATATGTTAAAAAAAAAAAAAAAAACCTAAAGACAGAAAGAAAAAAAATTTAAATAACTTTAGTGCAGGTTAAGTGTACAGTGTTTATAAAGTGTTCATTAGCACACAGTACTGTCCTAGACCTTCACATTCACTCACCACTCACTCACCCAGAGCAACTTCCAGACCTGCAGGCTGCATTCGTAAGTCCCCTATACAGGTGTACGGATTTTAGCTTTTATATCGTATTTTTACTGTACCATTTCTATGTTTAGATACACAGATACTTAACCATTGTGTTATAATTGTCTACAGATTGAGCACAATCACATGCTGAACAGGTTTGTAGCCTAGAAGCAATAAGTGATACCACATAGCCTATGTGTGTGGTGGGCTGTACCATCTAGGTTTGTGTAAGCGCACTCTACCATGTTTACACAACAATGAAATTGCCTAAGGACTCATACCTTAGAATGTATCCTCGTCATTAATCCACACAGACTGTAATTGTTACTAGCATAGGTAACTTTGTGATACTTAGTTTATGCCATACACTGTGCTAATACTTCTGTCTTCAGCATAACCCCCATTTTTTATAACGAAATTGACATGCAGAGTTGTCCCATGGTCTTGGCACTGCTGACTTGACCTTGGGTCCGTCTACTGCCGGTGTTCTTGCTTAAACTAAGCTGTGCTGTGTCGGAGTCTGTTGTCAGAAATTACTTGCTTCGTGGGTGTGAGCTACTTTCAAGCTCTGTAATGCTCCAGGTGCATATTGGATTAATGATGTGTATTTCATTACAGGTAATGGCATTTGAGGACTAGAAAAGATCTCAATTTCCACTGATGTCTTCATTTTAGGATTTTGGAAACCAAGGCTCAGAGAAGTTAATAACTTGCTTAAAGGCACACAACTTGAGGAGGCAAAGATTGGGCAGGGAACAAAACTCCTGAGTTCACTTTCATTCCAGTACATGGTTTCTTTCCAGTACACTACATCTCAAAAAGTTGAGAATTGTATGTTTGGATATTTACTTAGATTTGTGCCGCAGTGAATTTGAGCTGACTTGCCGAGTACTTTAAATACAACTTAAATAGGAAATACAGAAAGTAAACGTGACCATGGAAAATGTAGATGTGAAACAAGACTAAGTGAAGGGTTACTGTGTCGCCCTTGGGGTCCTATATGGTTACTAAAGTCATGCTACAAATTTGACTCTGAGCTTCCTGAGCCAAAGAGAAACATGATTACAGGATTGATCTGTCCAAAAAGGAAAATTCTATCCGTTCCTCAAGGGAAACAAAACTTTTCCTTGAACTTTCCTGTGCTGGTTTTAGCACAGAGGACAGCTAACAGCTTACAGATGTAATTGTGTTCGTTATGGCAATTCCCATAGCTGTAGTTGCATAGAAACCCCAAGTCTCAGGGGCTTAACAATAAAGTTCATTTTTGTTCATGTGAAATCCAACACGGCTGTCTCTGATTGGCGGCCCAATCAACTCCAAAAGATGCTTTAGGAACTGCTTCCTGGTGGCTCCCAGTCTTCAGCACACAGCTTCCAAAGTCACCTTCCCGGGCACAGTGGCTCACGCCTGTAATCCCAGCACTTTGGGAGGCCAAGGCAGGCGGATCACAAGGTCAGGAGATCGAGACCATCCTGGCTAACATGGTGAAACCCCGTCTCTACTAAAAAAAATACAATTAGCTGGGCGTGGTGGCAGGCACCTGTAGTCCCAGCTACTTGGGAGGCTGAGGCAGGAGAATGGCGTGAACCCGGGAGGCGGAGCTTGCAGTGAGCAGAGACCGTGCGCCACTGCACTCCAGCCTGGGCGACAGAGCTAGACTCTGTCTCAAAAAAAAAAAAAAAAGTTAAAAAAAAAAAAGTCACCCTTAGAAAGAAAGAGACACAGAGAGGGTTTGTATAAGGGAGGGTTTTACGGGTCAGCCTGGAAGTGTCACACAACACTTGGCCATACCTAACTGCACGGGAGACTGACTGAGAGCTGTGGTCTGGCCACGTACCTGGGGGAGAGATAAGTGGATTTGATGAACAGTTAGCCAGTACCTGCCACAGACTATGTGCCTCTGAAGGGTTCCCTGCCAGATTCCGGAGTCTATGTGGCAGAGTCCCTGGCCCCAGGCTCCTTCACTGAGTGGCTCTCGAACTCCACAGACTGAATTCCCCCATCTCCTTCAGGTCCTCAATAGTGGAACAAACTGATACTTGAGTGGAATGTATGATTGTGACTTCTATCACTTGACTTTGAATTTCTTCAAAATAGGCATGAGTCTTACTCCTCTCTTTTACCAACCCCTGTCACAGTAGCTGGCCAGAGTAGCGAGTCAGATACTGCATTACATTGATCTCAAATAAATAACAAAATATTGATGCACATTCTATGAATTTTACACTCAGTATGATTCACACTCACTCTGGAGAGTGTAAGACAGGAAGCAAGGCAAGATTGCCTGTACTTTGACTTTGGAATTTATTTGTAGGGTGGGATGAGGTGTTAGGCTCTTGGCAACAGATTTCTTTACTAATTGCACTTTGTTTCAGGAAAATAAGTTTGGATTTTAAAAATAGATGACAGGGGCTGGGTGTGATAGCTCACACCTGTAATCGCAGCACTTTGGGAGGCTGAGGCAGGACGATCACTCAAGCACTGGAATTTAAGACCAGCCTGGGCAACATAGGGGGATTCTGTTGCTAAAAAAAAATTTTTTAATTAGTTGGGTGTGGTGGTGCACGCCTGTAGTCTTGGCAACTCAGGAGGCTGAGTGAGGAGGATTGCTTGAGCCCAAGAGGTCAAGTCTGCAGTGAGCCATGATCATGCCACTGCACTCCAGCCTGGGTGACAGAGCAAGACCCTGTCTGAAAAAATAGACCCCAAGGCATATTGCAGATTTATCTATCTACATATAGGTAATTGAATATTTGCCTCCTTTTGGAAAAGAAAAAAATTAATAAAGCAAGCTTTTTATTGAGTCTTATTCCTCTCTTGTTATTTTGAGTGGTTATACTTCTTTTTTTTCTTTCTTCTTTGCAGTACTGTATCGGAAAGGCCCTCCATTTTACCATGCAAGGTTTGGAGTGATTTTTAAATAAATTGATGGGTTAAAGGGACACAAGGGACACAAGGAATTTCTGGCCTCTAATTTTTTGGTGCCATAGGAACAAAAGTCATGTTCTTCCTGGCCTGATAGGAATAGATACTATATATTCATGCCTTACACACTAATGTCATTATACTATATATAAGATGATATATAGTTTATGATACTCTATGTTCTAGTGTTAAACATTGAGTTAATCTGTGCCGTAATTGTTCATCTTAACATCAGTTAGGCCGGGCGCAGTGGCTCACACCTGTAATCCCAGCACTTTGGGAGGCCAAGGTGGATGGATCATGAGGTCAGGAGTTCAAGACCAATCTGACCAAGATAGGGAAACCCCGTCTCTACTAAAAATACAAAAAAAATTATCTGGGTGTGGTGGCGGGCACCTGTAATCTCAGCTACTCAGGAGGCTGAGGCGGAGAATTGCTTGAACCTGGGAGGTGGAGGTTTCTGTGAGCCAAGATCACACCACTGCACTCCAGCCTAGGCGACAGAGCGAAACTCCGTCTCAAAAACAAAACAAAACAAACATCAGTTAGTATTAGTGTCTAAACAGTTGTGTGAACTTACAGCTTTCGCATTGGGAAAAATATGTGTTTGGTTTTTGCTGTAAGTAAGTGTTGGAATCAGCCTGAAAGTTTGTAACTTAAAGTATGAATTTTTCATTAATATTTTCTCAATAGCAGTTTAGGGGAATTTAGAATCAGATGATGTAAATTTTATTTTCTGTGTCTTTGTTCTTGGTAGCACAAATAATATTCTTTTAAAACAGGTTTATTTCATGCTTACTTTTAAAATGCTTTTTCTGTGTTTTCCAGTTATTCTGTCATTATCGAGCTAGTTGATGACCATTTTGAAGGTTGTCTCCGCAGGCCTTTCAGTTGGAAGTCCCTGGCTGCCTTGAGCAGAGTTTCTGTTAATGTCTCTAAGGTAACACAACATCAGCTTTGCCATTGGAGTGTCACTTAAATGGTTCAATTTTTTTTTTTTCTTACATGTAGTAGAATCAAAAAAGTTACCTGTAGAACCTTCATAACATTCCTGCCAGTGACATGCTGGCAGGGGTCATTTGTACCCTTCCCTTATTGCGCTAGAAGTTGTCCTCCCTTCACGTTACATTTTATTGTCCCCTCCCTCCCAACTGCTGCTGAGCTCCAATGACTGAGCTTTGAAGTTTCCCATGGTGATCTGATCTGCGTAGGCATTGCCTCTCTTCCCAGGGGTATCGTTGCTATGTGGCCTGTTTTATACTGCAATTTAACATTCACTCATACACATATTCACAAAGGAGCCAAAACATTGAAAGTTTGCAGATCTCTCAGAGAGGAAGGGACTTGATATTTATTGCTAAGCACTTTCCCACCCTGTTGTTATCCTCATCCCGAGGATGAGAAACCAAGGTTGGAGCTGTTGAGTGAGTAATCCAAGATCACACAGCTCATGTGCAGACTCGGGATCCAAACCCACAGCTCTCTGGCTCCCTGGCTTGTGTTTCACTATATCCTTCCTGTTGCCATCAGAGATAGGAGGAACTCAACTCACACAAGGACTATCAAGAAAGAAAGCTGTGTGTGTTTTCATTACTCAGTGATTTGCTGGCTGAGAACAAATTGTACATACCCTCTAATTTCGTGCTCGTGCTGCTGGAGGTGAGGTGGGGCTGAGGCCGGAGGGTCTTGCAGGGCTGGAGATGACTGCCCTTTAGAGCAGGTTAGGTTGCCTAGGCTTTAGCTTGGTCCTGTAGAAAATTAGGGAGCCTATACTGTTTCTAGTGTTTTTATGCCCATTTTAGGGGACTCGTAGCATATACTTAATATGTCCTCACTTAACATTGTTGATATGTTCTTGGAAACTGCAACTTTAGGCGAATACCATATACAAAAACAATTTCTTCTTCTCATCATAAGAACACAACGTTGAAGTTTATTTGAAGACCTGCCGTACATCTGTATTAGTCCATTCTTATGCTGCTATAAAGAAATACTTGAGACTGGGTAATTTATAAAGAAAAGAGGTTTAATCAACTCACAGTTCCCAGTTCCACACGGCAGGGGAGGCCTCAGGAAGCTTAAAATCATGGTGGAAGGCACCTCTTCAAAGGGTGGCAGGAGCAAGAATGAGAGGATGAGGGAAGGAGGAAGCTCCTTACAAAACCATCAGATCTCATGAGAACTCGTCATCACAAGAACAGCATGGGGACCGTCCCCCATAATCTAATCACCTCCCACGAGGTCTCTCCATGGCACGTGGGGATTGTGGGAGCTACAATTCAAGATGAGATTTGGTTGGGGACATAGCCAAACCATATCAATGTCGTTTCACTTAACGTCCGTGTCAAAGAACCTATCAAGGACATTAAGTGAGGACTTACTATATTTAGTATTCTTAATGCTGTGTTTATAATGAATGTATCTGCTTATAACTCTTGCCATGTTCAGTGATTACTAAATGGCAGGTACTTAGAACGTAAATCCCAGTTATGATGTCCCCAGGAGGAAACTGATGTGTCTGTGAGTTTCCACGTGGAGTGCACAGTGAGAGGGACTGGAGACCACCTGCATTTCCTGCTGATACATCCAAATTTGTACTATTATTTTGTAGGATACAGAAGTGGTTTTTCATTTCTCAATAGGAACTTATGCTGTGCTATTTGATTAAACCCTCAACTATGACTGATAAGGAAATGGAGTCACCAGAATGTATGAAAAGAATTAAAGTTCAGGTGAGTAAACCGAGAGAAATTCATGTCATCCGAAAGATTCTGTGCATCATAGTGTATCTGGAACATGTGGTCCCAAGAAAATACATGAATACAGTCTTGCCTTGGTAACAAAGCCTTCTCAGGCAGGCTCTGTAAGTCTCACCTTTTCCCCGCTGAACCATTGGACACAAAATCTATGCTGACTTCCACTCTTCCTTGATTCTCCACTTTTTTACCTGTGATGTCCGCATCACTCAGCTGAAACTGCTGTCTCACAGGTGGCCTGTGACCCCCTGGTCAGGCCAGGACCTCTCACAGGTCTCATTCCCAGAGACCAGAGGTGTCCCTGTTGACTCTCTCCTGCTTCTGGGCTTCTGTACTGAACCGAGGTGCCTCCTGTCATCTTGGCTGGTTTCTCTCTGGTCTGGCCGAGTCGTCTAGTGTGTGTCCGTGTTTCTGCACTCCCTCCCTCTGTGTAGAGCCTTAATGTTGCCATTGGCTCCTCCCCACATCCAGTATGTCATTGTTGTCACCCTCTCTTGTACTCATCGCCCTTTCTTCTTTTCACACCATCCTGCCCCCTGCAGACCTGTGGTCTCCAGGGCCCCAGCACCTCCTGCCTTCAGTTGGTCCCACTTATCTCCACTAGGCTAGTTTTTCATAAAATGCTCATCAGCCTCATTTCTCCCTTCTCAGTAGCTGGCCCAGTAACAGCAATGCCATCACAGACCTAGCGCTAATGTAAAATCCTAGCTTTCATCCAGCCCACCTGTTCCTGAAATGTGCTGGTAGAATACCACAGCAGAGGCAAGCTTAGCTTTAAAATCTTTGCCTGGTGAAAGTAGATACTATATGCTTGTAAGGTTTATATTGTTCCATTCATTTTCTCCAGATGCTTCTGTTTTAAAGATGGGAACAGTATCATCATTATATAGACAGCTCTTTGTGAAATGTAGCTGTGGTGTCAGCTACCCGGAATGGTCTTACATTTCTGTTTTAAGAAATGGTCTTTTTTTTTTATTGGTTTCAGGAGGTGATTGTGAGTCGATGGGTTTCTTCACGAGAGAGGAGTGACCAAGACGATCTTTAACAATTCAACCTCAAATTTCTAATTTCACCAACAACTATTTATTGAGGGCTAGGTAAAAAGTTATTTTTGTTGTAATCATCCATTAATTTATAAATTTTAAAGGACATGGTGCTCCCAGCACCAGAAAAGTATCAGTGTTTTTAAAGATAAATTACACAGGGGAGGAGAAAGATCCCTGTGCTAGGAATGCAGATTCTGTCCTTGTGTTGGCCTCTAACTCTCCAATCCCGAGCCTCGTGCCTCTGGCCTCAGTCTGTGCCCTCATCCAGTCACTGTGGAGGTTGGACTAGATGAGTCCTGAGAGGACACTTCCAACAACAGAGACATTTATTCTCTGATTTTACCTGAAAATGGTAGTAGTTTACATTTATACAGTACAGTTTATGAAGCACTTTCATACACAGGCATCTCTTGTTACCTACATCTAAGCTGTTCCCAAAAGAGTGTTACAGAACACAACAATATTGTACAATATTAGATGAGCATATCTTCACTGAACTTGTTATAAAAATGAGTGGTGAAATAATGTTTGGAGACATAATGAAAGCAATTAACATTTAGCAAAATATAATAAAGCCTTTTTGTAATTGGTGAGAAAGTCATGAAGACTTAAGTTACCTAAGGGCATTTGGTGGCAAGAGAAGGGAGATGGGTGGCTGGGCATGGTGGCCCATACCTATTATCCCAGCACTTGGGAGGCCAAGGCCCATGAATCGCTTGAGCCCAGGAGTTTGAGACCAGTCTGAGCAACATGGTGAAACCTCTCTACTAACAAAAATTAGCCAAGCATCGTAGCACATGCCTGTAATCCCAGCTACTCAAGAGGCTAAGGTGGGAGGATCGTTTGAGCCCAGGAGGCAGAGGTTGCAGTGAGGGGAGATCATGCCACTGCACTCCAGCCTGAGCGATACAGCAAGACCCTGTCGCAAAAAAAAAAAAAGGAGGAGGGGGGAATGGGAAGGGGAAATACTTGCTCTTTGGTGGTAGAGGGTGACCAGCTAAGGTAGTAGCCTGAGCTATATTCTCTTAACTGGTCCAGACACTACTTGAATGATTTTGCTGCAAGCCCTTACACGTTTGTTGTATGGGGTATTGGCTATCCAAATTGGCAAACCATAATAGCAAACATTTGGAGAGTGGGAGTTGAGATGGGGCAGATGCCTGTGTATTTATCCCTGCAGCAGCCTTGTGAATTCAGGAGGAGGGACCCACAGAGGGGTATTTGAGGCTCAGAGATGTTGGCAGGTGTGCATCACTACCAGTCATGCACACGGAGGACTGGACCTGAGATCAGCGTCTCAGCTGAAATGGCACTATCCTAAAAATTACATGCAGTCAGAAATAGAGCCCTGTTGTCTGGTGGTGGTGGTGGTGAACAAGGAAGGCCACCCACCACATCAGGCAGGGCCAGCTTTATGCTCCCACACAGTCCTCTACCTCAGGGATGGGGTGCAGCCTGAGGCCCCCTTACTTACTGGTTGTGCCTGTGATTTCGAAAACAGCATCAGAAAGATTCCATGATGACCACCTATGGATCTAAGGGTAAGAACCTTGGTGCAGTGTGTGGTGCTTGGCTTTTAATTCCCCAGAGAGAATTCTGAAAACTGGGTAGTGAAATGAACCTTCTAGAAAGGAACGCTTCAAATCTCAGCTCTGCTTCCCTGTGGTAGTGTGCCCTGAGCAATTTACTTGCCTTGATAACTTCAGTTTTCTTATTTCTAGCATGTGGCTAATGTTGTTTACCTAATCATGTGGTTGTGTGGGTAAAGGAGAGCTCAAAAAGCACTGTAATCCCAGCGCTTTGGGAGGTCAGGGTAGGTGGATCACTCCAGGTCAGGAGTTCGAGATCAGCCTGGCCAACATGGTGAAACCCTGTCTCTATTAAAAATACAAAATTAGCTGGGTGTGGGTGGTGGCGCCTGTAATCCCAGCTTCTTAGGAGGCTGAGGCAGGAGAATCACTTGAACCTAGGAGGTGGAGGTTGCAGTGAGCCCAGATCACGCCACTGCACTCTAGCCTGGGGGACAGAGTGAGACTCCATCCAAAAAAAAAAAAAACCTGAAGTTTCATTGTTACTTATTGATAACTTTAAATTGATAATTTTTTAAGAAAAAAAAAATTCTATTAACTTGAATGTGGTTCTTATTTTCACCCTTGTGGAGAAGCACTTGGATTAAAAAGAAAGAAATTTTCTCTCCTCCCACCACCCACCTCCCATGTACAATTTTACTAACTGAAATGAATTTTTAAAATCTCATTACAAACTTGAATAATCATTCCATGAATATTAACTCCCCTAACACTATAACCGAGGCCCATTTCTAAAGTTGATCTTAAAACTGGAAAATTTGAGTCTCTCTAATTTTGTGAAATATAGGGATGCTTTTTACATGATGTAAAAATCATATTTGTAAAATGGTTAAACTAGGAGGCAATATTTTTATTGCAAGTATGATCTCTTTTAAGTGAAAAGTTTCTGTCATTTAAAATTTTTAGAGTCTTTATATTTTCATAAACAGTATTTCAAAGGCAAATGTTCTTCCTAACTTTTTTTGTGTGTATGTGAGACAGAGTTTTGCTCTTGTTGCCCAGGCTAGAGTGCAGTGGTGAGATCTTGGCTCACTGCAACCCCCACCTCCCAAGTTCAAGAGAGTCTCCTGCCTCAGCCTCCCGAGTAGCTGGAATTACAGGTGCCCGCCACCCTGTCCGGCTACTTTTTGTATTTTTAGTAGAGACAGGGTTTCACTATGTTGGCCAGACTGGTCTGGAACTCCTGACCTCAGGTGATCTGCCTGCCTTGGCCTCCCAAAGTGCTGGGATTTTCCTAACTTTTAAATGGCACATTCTGCTAAAGTAGAATCAGAAAACTTGAGTCCACATTTCAAATCGCCACTGGGAAAACAGTGGTAACCTAAAGGAATGTTGCTTGATCACTCTGAGCCTTGGTTTCCTCAACAGTAAAATGAGGATAATTACCACCTCCTGAGTTTGCTTTGCAGACTAAATGAAATGAGATGACATACAAAAGGGTCTGGCACACAGTAGGTGTACTTTTCCCCTTTCAGACAAAGTGTAAGCATTGCCATCCTTATTTTCACTAGGAAGTGAAAAGCCTATTTTATGCCCTGGTAGGTGAGACAGTGGAGGGGAAGGAGGTGATGGAAAAATAGTTGGAGGTAAAGTAGTAAAGACAGCTGAGGAGACTGGGAGGAGAGGCAATACTGCAGTAAGCACCTGCTGTACACAGGGGGCTAGATGCAGCCATTGGGAGGTTTTTTTTAATTTTGCTTTTTGTTTTTTGTTTTAATAGTGGCTGGTAGGTTTTCCTGGTTCTAGGAGTAATTCATGCATGCTGTAGAGGCTTTGGAGAATTACCTTCGTATAGATCATTTTAGTCTTTCAGACAGGAAACACTTCGGCACTTACTGTGAAAAGGATCCCGGTGGTCATCCCATGAACACTAATCGAGTCCCAGATGTGTGCTCTGGGGAGTGCTGAACAGTGGAGTGAAGAAGCACATCTCGGGAGGTGCTGGGAAGAAACTTGGGATGTCATCTGGGGAACAGAGTTACTGCCAGTGCTGAGTCTCCCTGCCGCTTCAGTTAGCATTTAGCTGATATGATAAAGGAAACTTAATCGAAGGAGTCTCAGTTCATAATTCTACGGACTGAGCAACATTGCCATCTGTTGGTGTAAATCAGTAACTGATTTCCTTTATTAGGGGCAAAACCTATAGATTGGTATGTGGTCTTATTAAGAGGAGGGGGCCAGGCGCAGTGGCTCATGCCTGTAATCCTAGCACTTTGGGAGGCCGAGACAGGTGGATTGCTTGAGGCCAGGAGTTCAAAAGCCAGCATGGCCACCATGGTGAAGCGCCGTCTCTACTAAAAATACAAAAAATTAGCCAGATGTGGTGGCGGGCGCCTGTAATCACAGCAACTCAGGAAGAATCGCGTGAACCCGGGAGGTGGAGGTTGCAGTAAGCCGAGATCACACCACTGACTACAGCCTGGGCAACAAGAGCAAAACTCCATCTCAAAAAAAAAAAGGAATTCGTAGCCTGCTGAAGCGCGAGAGAAGAAATATGAGGCCAGCTTTTGCCAATGTCACCTCCAGATTGGAGAGCACCCCCTAAAATACAGAATGGGGACCATCTAAAGCTTTTCTTGAAAATTAAGGGGTGAGAATTGCAGCACTTTGGGAGGCTTAAGTGGGAGGATCACTTGAGAACAGCCTGGGCAACATAATGAGACCCTGTCTTTACAAATAATTTTTTAAATTACCTGGGCGTGGTAGCATGCACCTGTAGTCCCAGCCACTGGGAAGGCTGAGGTGGGGAAATTGCCTGAGCCCAGGAGGTTGAGGCTGCAGTGAGCCGTGATTGTGCCTCCGGACTCCAGCCTGGGCAACAGAGAAAGACCCTGTCTCCAAGAAAATAAATGAAAAGAGCTGCAGCCCCTAAGGGAAATTAGCATGAAATAGGCATTTCTTAATTATTTTAGCTGACTTTCATTGTTTACCACCTTTCTGTGTTTGAATGTTGATAAAAGCAAATCCTGATTTTCTCCTTTTTCTTTAATGGCGAAGTATTGACCCAGTTTCTGCACGTACTAGGTACAGCTGGTCCCTTTCCATTTGCTGGGGTTGTCCTCTTGACTACTGCAGTGTGGCCCAGGGGTTACAGGCACAGCTTTTGTGGTCAAACCCTGGTTTGAACCCCAGTTTTGCCACTGTGTGGCTTTGGACAAGTCATTTCCTCAATTTCCCTTTTCATCTATAAAAGAAGCATAATGTTAGGACCCACCTACAAGGAAGAATAAGTGTTTCTTCTGGTGTGGAGTCCTTTATGAATACTCATTAACTGCAGCTGCTGTTACTACTAATAATGAGTAAAGTATTAGACTAGAGAAGCTGAATCCTAGTATAAAATGTGAAGAAATGAGGGCAGATTGGAATTCTTTCATCTTTACCCTCTGGGGTTTTGTTGACTTCTTGAACACCATGTCATAGTTCTGCTTAAAATGGTATCAAATTCTGGGTGGGCAGTTTTGTATTTGAAGGAAAGTACCTGAGCTTGTAAATGCAAATGTTGCTTTGCCGTGCATTCTTTCCCACTGAAGTTAACTGTGCTGAAACATGGACTAAATGCCTCTTTGGAAACAAGCTTTAAGGATCTGTAGCAAGTTTTCTGAATATCTTTATTACCAGTGTTAAAGGATAAAGCACGTTTAAGTTTATTTGAGCAGACAGCCATTCGTGAATCAAGCCGCACCAAAACCGAGGTGGTTCGGGCTCCTGAGGAAGGGTGTGAAGGGAGGCTTTTAGAGGGTGTGTGAGGAGGCACAGGAGAGAAGTTGGTTGGTTAAAGTTTAAGCAGTTGTCTTATTTAGGTTATCCCAGTGGCAAGTATCTGATTGTGTAACTAATGTTCAGTTGGCCATTTAGGATTGGCTGAGCTTAAGTTTCGTTTAGTTTAATATGGAACTGGGTGTTGGATCCATCTTGGTATAATGGCTTTTCCCTAAGTTATTTTAACACGAGGCAGTTATTGGTACCTTTAAGATGGGTGTGATTTTTGGAAATTAGACATCAGTTGGTACCAAGACTGGGGATTAAGTGAAGTAGTACATCACATTTGGTCAAAAACAACCGAGTTCTGGAAGAAGTTTCCAAAGAGGAATTCGGGAATGTTTTGCCTGTTGGCCTTTTGAAGTTCAGTGATAATTTCAGTACACAAACTCCAACATACTTGTTAAAAGTCACCTCATTTCTTTACAGTTTCTCATCCCAGTTTCCCCAGCGTCCTCCTGTGAAGGTATCAGAGAAAGAAGATAGCCCTCTCTTCCTGTCCTTTCTGAACTCTGCCTTTTCAGTGGGCAGAGGAAGTGCTTTGTGGCACAAACCCAACCCCCGAACCTCCATGTGTTGGGTCAGGCAAAATGAAATGGACACAGGCTGGAATTTTACTGATTTGAGGCGTCGCTGGGCTCGTTTGTGCAAATAGACTCAGAAGAGCTCATTTAAAAGGGGTGACCATTTCCTGATTTAGATTCTGAGGGGTTTTGGTTTTGTTTTACTGTTGTTCACT